ATGGAATGCAGGGATGGAGAGGACGGGTATGATGCTGGAATGGAGTGGAGGGATGGAGAGGATGGGTATGATGGTGGGATGGGGTGCAGAGGACGGATATGATGGTGGAATGGGGTGCAGAGGACGGTTATGATGATGGAATGGAGTGCAGGGGTGGAGAGGACGGGTATGATGGTGTGCAGAGGACGGGTATGATGGTGTGCAGGAGTTTACATGCAACTGCTGTCACCTGATTATTAACTTGAATAGATGACAGCTGACTATTTTAAATGCCGGATTAGGGATTCCTGATGCAGGAATCCCTAATTGCTCCTAAAAGATACAGGTGTGAATGCAGCCTAATACACTTATACTCTATCAGGCAAGATAAGTAAATAGGGTTCCTTAGTAGATCCCCTACCCTTCTAGCTGATGTTATAAACTGATGTTAAAAACATTTTTAAAGTTAACCATTTCATGGCCACCTCCCCTATTGGCTCAAACGGTGGCTTAGAAAGACCCCCCAAAATCAAGGATAAGTCCCATGGAGGGGATGACTGATCCCTTAATGGACGGGTACACAAGAAACATGCTCTAGCCAAAGGTCCATATTGCGCGCCACACAAGTGGCTGCCATGGCTGGCGCTAATGAGGCTGCATTAGCATCCGAGGCCCTACGGAGCAAAGCCTCTGCTTTCCTATCCATCTGATCTTTAATAATACCCGCATCTTGAAAGGAAAGATCAGCCTTCTTAGACACCTGGGCCAACGCCGCATCAAGTCTAGGACATTTGAAATACTTTTCTTCCTCTTACTTAGAAAAGGGGAACCTCCTTTTCCAGGACCTAAACCCCCAAAATTTCCTCTCGGGCTCCTTCCCCTCACCCTCTACTTACTCCTTCAGGGACTGGTGAACTGTGCCTCTACTAACTCCCTATACAGGCGATCTTGTACTGACACAGTCTTGGGGGCATCTGGAATCTGTTCCGTGGCATAAATAGCCTGCAACAAAAATTCCATATCCTCCAATGCAAATAAATGCCGGGAGTGCTCGCCCTCCTCCCTTGTCTCTCCTTCCTCCCCAGAATCTTCTGAGGTGGAAGCCGAATCCCTCCTATCTACTGCTCTGTCTACTTTTCTGAATGATACCCCTCCCGACTGTAACCCTGATTGACCGTGCAACTCAGAGCCCTCCAAGGACACAGTGGAAGCAGTTACTACCTCAGCAACGACAGGCTTAAGTGACTGCATTGTCGTCAGCAATTCCGACTTCATGGAATCAAAAAACTCATTAAAGTGGAGGATTCAGCCACTAAAAATTTATGCAAACAGACCTCACAAAAGTTTTTAACATATTCAGGAGGGAGTTTAACGTTGCAGTTACCGCAGAGCTTTCTACATTGTTTAGAAGCTGGGGCAGCCGGTGGAACAGAACCCAAGGATGTGGCTTTCTCCAATAGAGAGAATCAGCCTCAATATATGCCCATGAGCAATCCCCAACGTCCCTCCACCACAATGCCGGCTCCCACAGAGCAAAAATGCAGTACTCACCGCACCCTTGGCCCTGGAAGCAGCAGTCGGCCTGCCTTTATCCTCCATCTGGTTTGCAGAGCCTTCTATTTCCCCCAAAGACTGTTCCGACAAGCCTGTTCAGCCACGAGCGGCATCCACGGCGTGCATCTGCAGAGAGGCGTGCAGCGGAAGAGACACTGCGTCGGCCGCCGGAAGTGACGTCACCGCCGGAGTGCTGGAACGCAGACACGCCTCCCCTTGCGTTCCACATGCCAGCTCCCGCTAGTCCACGGCGTGCAGGCACCTCAACAGGGCGCAATGGCCGGGGAACTTCAGGGCTCCCTCCACCCCAGAGTTTGCGTGGACGAAGAAGCCCTGGAATCTGAAGAAAGGGAACCCCCCTGCCTACACAGCAAGGTGACCGGCCATGAAGAGGACCTGAACACAGAGCCGCACAGAGGGGAGACCCGCGACCACAAGGCCGACCGGTCAGGAGAAAAAAAACAAACGTGACGAAGTTCCTGGACGGTAGGAAACACAAAGAAACTGAGGTATGATGGGGTGGGAGGGTATTTAACTATTTTGTAATTGTGTTTCCTGTTGGAGGAGCCAATCATCTCTCAGGTTGCTTGCCTGGAAGATGATTGTAGAAAAGAGGATTTGAATGTTTAAAATAACAAAATGATGCATTTGAAGCAGAATAATGGTAGACACAAAAAGCTTGGTTCAGAGGTTTATTTAGATACATAGTTGCATTATCTTTCCTCTTAAATTAAACTGAACGGTTGCAGTTGTGACAGGTGTAGTCCTTTTAGTCTCAGAAAAAAAAAATGGTTTTACTTTTAACACAAATAATTATAATGTAAAAAATATTTTTAATCATATGTCTTGAAATATTCTCCCAACACTATGCATACAAAGATTAAAATATTTATACAAAAAATAGCTTCTGGTCTTATTTACACAAACAAAAAAAAGCCTGTCACAGACGGGCACTTGCAACTGGCACATAAATTTAAAGTAAATATTTTCAGCACATATTAATTCCATGCACAAAAACTGTTACAAAATATATATACCAATACACACAACACTGGAAGAAACTAAAATGACAACAAGTTGACAAAATTTTCACCAGCAGTTTCATTCAAGCCTGTTTTTCAAATGCAAATAATAAATATATACCTGAAAAAGAAAAAAAAAAGTATATAGGTTAGAAAAGAATAGAATTTTTAACCACTTCAGCTCTGACACTTCTATACCCCCAAAACCTAGCACAATTTTTAAAATTTCTGCCATGGGCCTATTTATTCAGCAATAACTTTGTCATTACTTAATAATGGTATACTTGTACATAATATTAAAAAGCCTTTTTTTTAGTGATATTGTCTTGCAAAAATAAATGTTGGTTAACCTCCCTGGCGGTCTGATTATCTGTTTTTTTTTCTTTTTCATTTTTACTTTTAAATTTCCCACCGGTTCCGCCCCCCGGGCGCTCGCAAGGGACGGAACCCGGAAAAGACGGATGCCGGCATTGGCCGGAGGACACAGCGGGGCTCGTGGACAAGGTAAGTGACAGTGTAATCCCGAATGTGGCTCGGGGTTACCGCTTTTGGTACTGAAAATTAACCCCGAGCCACACTCGAGATTACCGCCAGGAAGGTTAAAAGCAATGCAAATTAGAAAGCTAAAAAAAAAAAGTAATGAACAAAACAATAAAAAGGGGTTTAAAAAAAATAATGGTTTGAAAAGCCAATTCTATTAGAAAAAGAAAAAAATGTTAAAAAATTGTCAGGTTGCTTTAACAGACATCATATGCAGATTGACGCACACCCCTTATATACAGTATGCAGATGACTTGAACAGAGTAAATACAAACAACGTAACAATGTCAATTTGTCCCATGTAATGATAACATTTATGTGCATTAATCTAAATATATATCAGCAGTGAAAAGGTGCTCTGAACAGGTAACCCATTGGAGAAGGCGGATTAGAGACAGGTGGGTTTTTCTCTTTAAAAACACATAATTTGTGGAAGTCTGTCTGTGCAAGCAATTAAGCATAGGAAATACAAATCAAATTGTGCTGGAGAAATTTCAGCAAAAGGCAATCAAATACCTCAAAATCACAAATTATTAGCATTGTAATAAATACAACCCAAAAAACAATAAAAACAAATAAGGTTGAAATATTGCCCGCCGTCGATTATATTTGCGCAGACAGGAGTACAGACAAAATGTGTTTTTTTTAAAAAAATGTTTTTATTTTAAATGAACTATAAGGATTTGCTAAGCATCTAACAAAAGTATATTGCGAAATCACAAAGACTATAAATATTATTAGGTCACTATGCATAATTACTAAAATCATGTAACTATGCCCAAATGCTAAACTGTTTTTCTAGCGCACTACTTCCTTCTGCCAGGGTGCCTAAAAAAAAAAAAAATGGAAAAATAGACAATCCAAAAAGGCAACTGTCTGCCTAAAGTTGTTAATGACATGGCTACACTCCATAAGCCAGGTAGCGAATATACTAAAAATTCTAATGGGTTCCTAAAAATCAAACTAAGCTCATGATGGGGGGGGGGAAACCTACCTGCAGCGGAAAACCACATTAGATTTAAAGAAATGGACACCCTAAGCTATATGCAAATCTTTTTACTGCTAAACTTTGCCCCACTCCATCCTTTCTCCCTACTGGTATTTAGTATAAATGTCGGCTTACTTATCAACAGGAAGCCAGAGAGGAACAAGGCCAAACTAAACTTTTACAGGAAACATTAGGATTTGCCTATAATTGAGTCGTCTATACCTCTGGACATGCGGGCTTACGTGTAAAGCAACCTCTGCTTATGCATGCTTTAGCCATATGTTTAGCTTTTAATTGGTTTGAAACCTGTTTAATTAAACCTGTGGGTTGAACAAACATATCCTGGCTTAGGGGATGGAGGCATACAAGATAAAAATAGTATCTAATAAAGGCCATGTTTTTTTCTTCCTTTGGTTAGTCCATCCCAGAGTAGCATATGTAGATCATGTATCACAACCAGTTTATACCGTGGACAGGGGTTTTCCACATTACTTACTTGTTGCATCCCATTCAGATTTGCTGAGCGTACCCTGAAAGTTTTTTTTTTTTTTTTTTTCATAAAGGAAAAAAAGATTAACTAAACTTACAAAATCGTGTGATGAGGTTTTTGTACAAATTCGGTGATGTTTGGTGTTAAAGAATATTATTTATAGCGCAGAGTGGAGAACACTATCTGCCGAATACCTCAATGCCTGTTAGATAGATAGGCTGGGTAGACGACTGACAGGTCAGGTGTACAGGCTTTCTTTCTTTCTTTTTCTTAATCACAAATAATGCTTAGTAAAGCACATTCGTAAAGCACACAGCTGTGCATTTCTTTGTTTTTTCCCCTAAAGCAGTAGTAGGGCCATGGTAAGGCCAAACTGCCGCTTTTAAATCCTTTTGCTGCCAGAGCAATGTTTACTTTTTTCATACATGTAAAAGGTGCCCATACAGTGCACGAATATCGTACGAGAATCGTGGGAAATCCCGCGACTGTACGATAATCGCAAAGTGTACGGAAGGCGTGCGACCGTTTCTACTGTACGGTTGCACGTCTTCAGTCGAACAAGCAGGCTGGAAAAGCCGCCGGGAATCGTAAGATTCTCGGCGATTTCGTGGCCTACCTGTTCGACAACTGCCCGTTTGCAGTGATCGGAAACCCGCCCCTCATTGCAGTCATCGGAAGTCCCCCCCCCCCTCAGGGGGGCAGGCTTGCGATGATCGCAAGTACGATCTGCCTGTCCAAGATAGGACAGGCAGATCGTACGTTTTCTTTATTACTTTACAACCCTCGCAAGACAAAAGTCTTGCAAGGGTTGTAAAGTGTATGGCCACCTTTAAAATGCACTTTAAAGGCCTAGACATTGCTGCAACCCCCATAGAATTAAATATTGCCTAAAAGAAAAGAGCCTGTAGAATAAAATGGTACCACTTGCAATGGTTTATGTTGCATGATATTTGCATAACTGTATCAAACCCACATTTTTAGTAGGCACACCCGACACAAGTTGCGTTAGTATGTGTATGCGGAGGCGAGGAACTTTAAAAACATTTTTTTGGGTGTTTTTATATTTTATTTAACTTTATTTTATTTTTTTTACAGTCAGCTTTACACACGTAAACAGATTCCCGGCTGAGAGTCTGATTAGAGTCCCACTGCTGCTGATGTATAGCATACGTCAGCAAAAATGCGGCACCAAGTCTATGAAGTTTCAAATTATGCGAGTACACGTGGCAGCCTGGGACCAGGTTTTCTTTGCCTGGACTGTGACATGATTCAGCACAAGGAAGCATTTCTCTACTTGGGGTAACAAAGGTATTTACTCAAAAATAAAATGTTATTTGGTGTAAGCTTATCAAAATGATGCCATGGCAAATGCGTGCCATAATCAAAACTAAAGGCGGTCCAATTAAATATTAGTGTGTATATGGTCTCTAACGGTCCATATATGGCTGTACATGAGCTACAGACAGACATGGCAGAGTGTATGCAGCCTCTGAATAGAGACATTTTACATTTGTAGTAAAAGAACTTGGTAGAACTTGCTGGCTGCCAGTGGTAAATATTCTTATGCAATATACTGTATATGCAAATTTACCTGTCAATGTTTTTTTTATTATTCCTGAACAATGTACAAACAAAATATATACAAAAACATAATGCATTCACAAATTTAGGGTGGATATGTAATGGTTAAAGTATTATCAGAAATGTTTCTGCTTTAACCACTTGCTGACCGGGGTGTCCATTTTTCAGTATTCAGCGCTGCAGTACTTTGACGAAAAACGTACCGAAAATGTAGGAGAAAAAAAAAAAAAAAACCTGCTTTCCCTACGTTGTTATAAAAGATTTATTATTACCCAAATTTTTGGTAAAATATAAAAGACGGGGTCACGTCGGGTAAATAGACACCAAACATGTCAAACTTTGCGTGTGCCCGTGAAATCGCAAAAAAAATACCATACCCAAAATTGTCCATAGGCGACGTTTAAAAGCTGTTACCGCTCATCAGTTTAGTGTCATCAGTGATTGATGGCCCTAAAATTATTGCTCTCACTGCGACGTGCGCGGCGATATGTAACATGTGTAGCACAATAGACGTTTTCGCACCCGACGCATATTTGCAAGTGTATATATGACTTTAAAAAAAAAAAAATTGGTAACTAAATTTTTTTAAACCTTTTTTTTTCCAGTTTAATTCATTGTTATCACATAGGCTAAACAAGCCTCCTATGTGATAGCCAATTTGCAGTGACAGGTCCTTTTTATGGAGACATCAAGGGTCTCCAAGACCCCTAATGTCACCTAAGTATCCCCAGAGAAGATGGAGCAGAGACCTGCTTCACCAGCTTCTCTCCGGCTTTTGTACCAGAGAGCGACACTGAATGCAGGCAGTGATGTAAATTTACATCACTGCCTGCATTCCGACAACAAGGAGGAGATTAAAAGGAAGATCATGTACTGATCTCCGGTCACGGAGCTGTGCTGGTCCTGGCTCATACTGGGTACAGCGTAGCTCAAGATTGCCAACGTCGGCTGCGACGGAGGGGGTGCCGCACACCCGCACGCATAATACATGTGATTGGGCGTCTCTACAGACGCCCGAACGCTTGTATGTATATAGCCATCACTGGCTGTTTACATTTTAAGCTGATTTCCCGCTCGTGCGCGCTGCACTAGGGTGGGCACATTTAAAAACGCCCACACGCATCCAAGAAGCCGCTGTCCGGCCGTTTAATTACAACAGCCGGCGAGCAGGTGGTTAAATTCTATATCTTTACAGCAGATGATACTATAAAAGCAACAAAAAAAAAACCATCCCTCTGGTAGGAAAGCTTCCAGCTAATGAAAACAGATTTTGCGTGGGTTAGGGTCAAATATTAGTTTAAGGAACATCAGTACATCACACCTCTACCAGGTACTGCTGGCTGCTAGTAAACATATTATCTTTGTTAGGGCTAGCAGGCAAAACTGACAGAAACACTTACCAAGGGTGCCTTTGCTTTCCCACTCTCTTTAGATCTCTTAGCATGCTCATAGTCCGCTTCACTGTTAGAGACTAAACTTGAATTGGAGGCTGGCGGATATTGCTTAAAACATAAAAAATGGTGTCTGGTTAATGACGCAGCAAAATTACCATTTCATAACAGAGTAAAAATACCCAATACTTCGGAACATGCTAAAACTGATACTTTATATCCCAGTGGGGCTGTATTAAAACAGTTTACAGGTTGATGGGCAGATTTTAACAACTGTGACTGAGAATAAACGGGTCCTTTTCAATCCGTTAGTTGCTCTTTATGATCAACTGAGTTACAATCTGATGTACAATCCAAGAGTAGAATGATAATCTCCTAAACAGCACAATTTTCTGCAGCACTGTATAATTATCATGCTCTAGCACTTACTTCATGAGACCATGCAATCAAAGCAGGAGCTTGTGTCTGATCCTTATCATCTTACATCAATTCTGTGACATCAATACGAGACTACATTCAGAAAGGTATAGTCACGATATATATTTTTGAAAACTCTAGAGATGCTATTAAGTCAAGCAATTTTCCTGGCTCTTTCAACGAACTGAATGCAATATAAAAATGACCCATTCATGAAAAGAAACTCAGCTACAACTGGTTTTGGCATTCATACTTTTAAAGGAGTTGATTTGGGAACCATAAAGATAATTCTTTCCTCAAAACAAAGAAGATTTTGCCTGTTGTAATCAAAGCAAACAATTCACATTATCTCCCATTTCAGTGAAGAATCAACAAACACTTTTTGGTTATAGCTTTTTAAGTGCTTTAGCATTATAGTATGTTGTCGCCAGGCATACCGAGGGAGGGATAACTTCAGGCAGAGTTATGAAAGTCATAGTAAGAATAAACTCTCCATGATGGCAAGTTTGACTGAAACCCTGTGTCGCCATAAATGAAATGGTTTCCTTGAGGGCAGGACTGACAGTCTGCTGACACCTAATAAAAATGTTATAATAAAATATAAAAATAAAAAAATGTTCCATTTTCTGTTGCCGTGACTACACCTTCCATGAAATGGATTCTCCCCTTGGGGCGTCATGCGAACCATGCGCTCATCTAAGTATCTGTCGCTTAGCCATCAGCCCACAAACCCACCTTTACTGCCAATGAAATGCTAGATTATGGATGCTGGAAACTGCAGATATTTTACATTCTGATGGGACACAAATGATATCCCCTCCCTCTGCCAATTAAATATAAAAAGGGCAGAGCTAGAATATAAAGTACTCAGAAAAATGTAATCTCATAACTAGAATGAGTATATTAAACAAAATCTGAGCTGGGAAGGAATTAATGTATTAAAAACAGTTTTTTCTTTTTAAATTCAAAACGTCTTTATTGAAATGTAGAATATTAAAAACACAGAAAGTGCAATAACGTTTCATTTGTTACAGTAATATACAGAGCGAGTCACAGACAGTGTAGCCACCATACAACTGTACATAGGAATATTTCTCAATCCAACATCAACTCAGCGGCGGTCTGCCTCATGACTTACACTGAACAATGCAATAGTAATATGGACAGGGCTTGAAAAATTTTAGGGTCTCTCACCAGTCAAAAATGTCACCAGTCAGCATGACCAGACTATAGCCTTGCAATTTAGGTTAACATTTTTTGGGGACAGATAGAGCTTTCTTTTGGAGGTATATAAATCACCACTTAGGGGGGTTATTTTTTTTACTACATAATGAAAAAAGTACCGTAAATTTCAATTAAAAAAAATGTTTCCCCTACGTTATAAAGCATCTATTCTTACCCAATTTTTTGGTAAAATATAAAAGAGGGGGGCACGTCGGTTAAATAGACACCAAACATGTCAAGCCTTAAAATTGCGTGCGCCGGCTAAAATCACAAAAAACGACCACACTAAAAATTGGCCATAGGCGACACTCAAAACGCTTTTACCGCTCATCAGTTTAGTGTCATCAGTGATTAATGGCCCTAAAATTATTGCTCACACTCCGACGTTCACGATTATATGTAACATGTGCGGCACAATAGGCAGAATCGTTGTTTTCGCACGTAGGCGCACCCGACATGTGTATGTGGGGGCGGAGGACTTAAAAAATTATTTCTTTTTTAATGCTTCTTTATTTTAATGATTCTTTAATTTTTGTATTCTTTTTTTTTTTTTTACACAACTTTATTGCTATCACATGGGTGGGCTAAGAAGCCTGTTATGTGATAGTCAATTTACATGACAGGTCCTCTTTATGGAGACATCAGGGGTCACCAAGACCCCTAATGTCACCTAGGAACCCCCTAGCTGGAAAGTGACACTGAATGCAGGAAGTGATGTAAAGAACCTTGCTATCCTGGAAAGACTCCTGGAAAAAGAGTTACCTGTAAGTCTAAAGGTGGCCATACACTTTACAACCATCGCAAGACCTTAGTCTTGCGATGGTTGTAAAGTAATTAAAAAAACACAAACGATCTGCCCATCTTGGACAGGCAGATCGTACTTGCGATCATCGCAAGCCCGCCCCCCTGAGGGGCGGGCTTCCGATGACCGCAATGCTGAACAGGCAGTGTGCGCACACCGGCCCGTGCGGCATTGATCTTACGATCATGCTAAAAACCAACCGAAAATCGTACGATTCTCAGCTGGTTTTCTAGCATGCTCCTTAGACAAAAGACTTGCGACCGTACAGTAAAAACGGTCACACGTCTTCCATACACTTTGCGATTATCGTACGATCGCGGGATTTCCCGCGATTATCGCACAGTGTATGGGCACCTTAAAGGTGGCCATACACCTTACTACCATTGTACAACTTTTGTTGTCCAGACATCTCACCCTCGTTCAATTTTCTTACAACTAGCCCATCATCCACAGACCAATGTAGTTTGCAATTAACGCTCGTCAGCACCACCACCACCTGGCCGATTCTCATCAATCGAAAGGAACAGATTTTCCTTTGAGCATGTGCAGTTTGCATTTTGAGATTTGTGTTGTACAACAACGCCACTAACCTGTCAATTTTCATCCAATTAGACAAAGGTTTTCTAGCCTGCTTGGAAGACAAAAATCTGCCAGTTGTACAGTAATTGAAGTTGTACACTCCGATTTTCCCAAATTGTCTTTCCAGGACAGCACATGAGAGGAAGGGACCTAAAGTCCAGATGATTCTCCCTCCACCAGGCTGACCCTGGAAATTAGACATGGTGGACCAGACACAAGAACCGATCAGAGAAATATGAAAAGGAAAGCATGAGACTAACTACGGGGCAGTGTCAAATAAGAAAACCAAATGGCCTCTGATTAACTTTGTGTGAAATTATACAGGACTGACTTATTAGTGGAATATACAAACATAAAAGTAACACCAAATCCTAGTGGAATCTGTTCAACCATTGACACACACAAACCCCAAAATGCAAAAGGGCAATGAGGGAATTTATTGAGACTGAATACGCAAATACAAACTACCAAGAGCAAATTCTGCATAAGGGGATTATGCAAAATCCTGCACCTTAATGAAGTCTTGATTAGTAGCTGAAAATGTATAGCCTCATTGCCTGAAAGTACTGAGAAAGGTCTTCGCTACGGTGGAGATATTGAGGAATATTATTATACTGGTAGACCTTAGCACCCCCTTTTTGTAGGAATAACAGCCTCCATGCTTCAACCTGTGTCATGGTGGTGCAGCTATCAACTTAAGTCATCGTTCACCCGAAGCAGCTAGAAGGACTAAAGAGGTAGGGTGGTGGTCCTACCAAGAACATAACTGTTTTCTTGGAAAAGCTGGGATATACTAAAATACTTTAGGAATCGGTCTCCAACAAGTGGTAGAGGACTAAAGTGGTACTGATGAGCATTAGACTCCGAGCTCACTCCCATGATGGACTACAATCGCACGTTTAGTTTACTAATTTTTTAGATTTTAGTCCATCACAGGAGCAAGGTTGGAGCGGTGACTACTTTACAACACACATAGGGACCATGGGGAAGAAAAGTAGCTACCCTCCAGGAGGACAGTGTCAGCACCAATTCAGAGATGATTTGAGGATCTACAGCTGAGTGATACACAAATAAGATACATTCTGGTTAATAGTTTAGGTACTTGAATGCATTTTTAAAGAGTTCAGTGTCACTTTAATCATAGGAAGTCATAAAAGAGGTTTAACTCTGTCATACAAGATAGACCGTATCAAAAGTGCCCTGTGTAAGACTTAAGTGTTGTAACATTTATGAAGACATGCATCTAAACATATACGAGTTATGCCCTGCAGGAACTGCTGTACACAAAACACTATGCTGTAATTGTTTTAACAGTACAGGAAAAAAAAGCCACTTTGCAGGCTAAGCAGTAAATTGGTTATACTGCAGATAGTATAGTTATACAAATGCACATAGTATGAACTCAGAAAACATTACAAATGCTGAGATTCATAACTACATAATAACAAAATGATGCTTTAAAACATAAAGACCCCCCCGCATCAATACACTTAAATGGCATGCAGAGAGGAAAAACCCCACGTGTTGGAGATTTGTTTTATTTATTTTTATCAAAGAAAACTACCAAAGAGGACCAATCTCCAAAGAGCTGCCTCATTTACTGGGGATAACAAAAGTCCACCATAAATCACACTGAACTATAAAACCTACAAGTTAGGTACTGGTAGAACATTTAAAAGTGCTTGGAATACAATGATCTGATAAAACTTGTGGTTAGGGATGCACCGATACTAGTATTGGTATCGGTGCCAGGCATTTGAGAGAGCACTCGTACTCACCCAAATACTCAGATACCTAGCCCGATACTTGAGCTTCTGGTATCAGGAAGCCGGGCAGCGAGTTATTACATGTCCGTCCATTCCCCCTCAACCGCCCGCCCGTTGTCTGTCCATTCCCCCTCCCCCGTCCATTCCCCCCCTCAACCGCCCGCCCGCTGTTCGTCCATTCCCCCTCAACCGCCCGCCCATTGAAAGCAGGGGCCCCTATAGAATAGTGGCAGCTACAATTTATGCTGCACAATATTTGCATTAAATTATATACCATAGAGGGGATGCTTAAAAACCCCACCGTAAACAGCTGATTATGTGTAT